TCGATGAATATATATTTTTGAACCGTTTGCACTTGAATATATTTATAGGGATAAATAAATTACTTGTATATAATAAGATCAGTTTTAGTAAAATTATGAGGAACTAACTGTTTCTGTTAAAGAAAGATATCGTTATAGAAATGCATTTTTAAAAACATATCAGAAGAATGATTTTATAAAACTCAATAAGTGTTGCACGGTTTTTGATTTTTTTCTTTAAAAAAACATTTTATCTACATATCTTAAGTCTTTATGTCCTATGGCTAGACAGCAATGTGGGACTATTCTATTGTGAAATATGTAAGTACATTCTAAACAAAGACTTTTAATTTCAATTCAGACAGAACTAAAAGTATTTTAGATGCATGGGAATTTGTTTTTGTTTCCATTCTGTTAATCTGCAATACTACTACATTGATTGTGAACAACACAAATAAACAATTTCCATAAAAATATCTATAATGCCTATTCTGACCAACAAAATATTACACTTCTTATCCTTTTAGGAACATAATTGTTCTCTTAAGCTTTAAACAGCTTTTTCCATGAAATGATTTTTATTATTGTTTTATTTTGACAAAAATACTCAAATACTGGAAGAGATCAGATAAATGATAAGATCCGGATCAGAATTATCTTGTGAATTGTCTGAAGATTTTTTTTCCGTTTTTCCTGATCATGACGAGGAGCACACGGCAAGTGTGACGGGTCGACAGTGAATTCTCAATCTTCCATGGCACCCAACCCAACCTCTAAAGTTTTGGATGTTCAATCCTGAGCTTTTGAGCAAAACTTAGTCTGGACCCTTGTTTCTAAAAATCTGCATCACATTTGAGTTCTTACAATAAATTAGAATTCTACAAAGCCAATTAAACTATATTCAATTATAAACCCATGATTGAATATCGTACAAAAATATTACGTTAGGAACTTTATTTTGAAGTGGAAGTTTCTTTTTCAGAAGAAAATAATCAATTTTTCTCTTTACAGTATTTGCAGTATTGTAAAGTTTGGATTCCTATTTCTCCATGCAGACAGAGTTTTTTATGTGAAGTGTTTTTTGCTGGTCCCAAATCATATATTAAAGTTACTCTTATGAATTCTATCATTTGTGACAAATATAGCAAATAGATTGTCAATGTATAGAAAAAAATCCACTCTTTGCTTAAAATTAACACTTTATATGTAATATATAAAATTTACATCATAGACTCCGACTTTTTACTATCTATTCTGATTATACATGTATAAGACATCGGTAAATTTGACAATTCTGCTTAAATTCAGTAAAAGCTTAAGACTGTAAAATTATTGTTTGTTTAGCTCTTAATACCAGGAGAAAGACATTTTTGGATTCCAGAAAGGTCAAATAATTGATTATTTGTAATTTGAAACTTTTTCTTTGCCACAATATTTAATGTGTCTATTCAAGAAAGAATAAGACACTGTATTTGGTCCCAAGATTTATTTGAATAAAAGGATTGGAGGAAAAAACTTTTTAAAAAGTGATTTATGTGTAAGATGCAATTACAGAAATGACGACATTACACGAGACTGCTGTTTTTTCTTGTTTCATCAACTTGTTTGTCAATAACCTACCTCGTTTTAGAAATCGTACATACGCAGAGCATGCTCTTGCGTATCAATCCAACCGAGAGATATAAACCCAGTATGGTATGAAGTTGTGAGTAAAATATATAGATGCTTATGCTGTATACAGACACAGATACCAAACGCGGTGCACATCGCGTGTATTAGATTTTCACCAATCTATATAATTATGGAAAAGAAAATCACACCGGAAAATACAGAGAAAAAATATTAAAAGAATTATGAGTTGAACTAGGTCTGTGGCTTACTATAAATAAAATAATTTAGGCATTGATTTTATCGCCAAAGTTTTGGATAAAGGTCGTCCAGTTATAAAATAGGATTTGAGTAGACCTTATTAGGTGAACAATAGATTAGGCATCCTCATTTATTTTGAATGAAATTAGCATCCTCCCTCCAAATGTATATAACACAATAACAACTGATTGAATTTCCCAATAAGGGTTCAAATCGTATGTCGAGTCTTATACTCGAAAATGGATCCTAACTGAAAATAGATACATTGAATTAGATCGTGTTGGCGCCTGGTTAGGTTCGCTGCATGAGACCTTTTTCAATATAATCTGTAAAATATCCTTTATAAAAAAAATTCTATACTTAAATGATGTACATCTTAAATGCGTTAAATTATACGAAAACAATCATTTTTATGTTTGAATTTTTGCTTCATTGAAAGCTGATTAATATATATGGGACTGTCAGTAGTGTAGTCTTCTCGAAAATCAATATTTCTTTTTATGCCTATAAAAATTTTACATGTATAAAAGACATGTAGGAAAAAAACTGCAACAATTATAAACATTTTACGTAATGTGTGTGTACGTTATATATACTTGTATGTCTGTCTCAGTTTTTTTTCTTTTCTTCTTAATATTTTCAGTAACGAATACATATTAAATGGAAGCTTTATTGTAAATGGTTTTCCTTCTTGAAGAAAGTTTCTTTTGGTTTCTTTCGCTTAAAAAAAAGTCAATTTTAGTGCAGTAAATTGTTTTATTTCGGCACCTTAATCTCATTTCATACAGAGAAAAAATCTTGTTATCTTATAAAAGCTTCTAGGACATTAGCTCTCTATTACTGCGAAATTAATACCAAGATCTTCCATTCGATTTCAAGCACTGAGTGAAGGTCATGGTGACTTAGTAATTACGGACTTCTTGTTGATTTTCTTGAGGTTTTTATTGAGTTTCTCCTGAGAAGAGAGATTCACAGCGCTGACTACTCTGTTCCTAGCCATTCTGATCACAATCAAAACATTTGTAAAATATAAGCATAGAGCGTTTTATTTTTATGTTACGCCCTTTGAGATATCTGTATTGCAAGACGAAGTGTTTTATTGTTTACTTAACACTGATACACAAATGCAGAGAAATGCCAGGAGATAGCTCTGTCGGAGGTTATAGTATTATCACTGTGTAAATGTTTATTGCATTTCCTTGAAATGTCCTTGGAATCGCTTAAAATATTCGGAAAAAATGAAATAAGGGGGTAGGCACAGTTGCTTTCATACTATAATCTTTACTTGATAAATTAAAAAAAAAACAAACAAACTATGTCTTAAATGTTTAGAAGGATACATGCATTACAGGTACATCATTGTAATTTATTTATTGAGTAGGAAAGTGATTTTTGCCTTTCTCAATCATACAAAAGAAATGCTATGTACAGAATTTTTTCTGTTGCAACTTGCATATAAACAAACAAGCAGGTTTGAAATAACATTTTCTTAATATGACCTTTCATAGTGCCTTTGTGTTATTGTGCTAAACTATGTGTCCATCAAATCCTATTAAACGATTTAATATAAATGAAAATGCGCGCTTAAATTTATCAATTTATAACTAAATTTAGAATAACTGGTAACTTATTTACTTACACGAGCCTTTAAATTCAAAAGTTGGTTTACACTATATTGAAACTCAAGTCAGTAAAATACAAATAAACATACCGTTGAATTGTTTATGTCTATTAGTATGCTGTGATGGCCACAAAATAAATAAAAATAGTCTAATAACATTAACTTGTTTAGCTCATTAATCACGTAAGAGAACACCCTGGAATAATCAGTATAAGTGCACCTGCCTGGATTTTGACTGACTGCCAACAATGGCCTATGTTACAATAAGCATATCAGCTTGTAACTCTGAGATTCAAACTAACAAAGAAAGGATTTATTATGGTACAATTTTATTTTACCAGATTCTCTTTTGATTATAAAAGATTTTACTTCAATTTTACCTTGAAAGATACTGAGTAATGATTTCTGTACTCTTCTTTTCGAATTCAGAATCATCAATTAAAGGTATAATGAAATGAAAAATACATTGACCTTAATTTCATACATTTTGTCTCTTGTACTATGCAGGTGCATGCATAAATATTTACTCAATTTTACTATTTAAGTATTTAATATAGGTTATTATATATCTGTTAGTTCATTATTCTCTATAATAGACTATGTTGAACACACTTCCTGTTCTTATTTTTTCAGTATTCTCTTTGATATGTCTGTATTTTCTGATTTTCTTAGCATTTTCTATAGGCTGTAATGTCTATATTTCTATCATTATGCTATTTCAATATTGTCTTTAGATTGTTATGCCCGTACTTTCTTATTTTGCTTGTTCAGTATTATTCTACAAACAGTTATGTCTACATTTCTTTCATTATGGTATTTCAGTATTCTCTATGGAGAGAGAGAGAGAGGAGCAAGAATAAGGAAGACATAACAGTCAATAGGAAATACTGAAATAGACAGGGATATAAAGACATAACAGTCTATAGAGAATATTGAAGTAGCCAAATCAGGAATAACAGACATAACAGTATATACCTGAACGGCTTCAGTATATCCTATAAACTGTTATATCTTCCTTATTTTTGCTTCTTCAGTATATTCTATAGACTGTAATATCTTAATTATTTTTGCTTCTTCAGTATATTCTATAGACTGTTATGTCTTCCTTATTTTTGCTTTTTCAGTATATTCTATAGACTGTTATATCTTAATTATTTTTGCTTCTTCAGTATATTCTATAGACTGTTATGTCTTCCTTATTTTTGCTCTTTTTCAGTATATTCTATAGACTGTTACGTCTTCTTTATTTTTGATTTTTCAATATATTCTATAGACTGTTATGTCATCTTTATTTTTGATTTTTCAGTATATCCTATAGACTGTTATATCATCTTATTTTTGCTTTTTCAGTATATTCTATAGACTGTTATGTCTTCCTTATTTTTGCTTTTTCAGTATATTCTATAGACTGTTATATCTTTATTATTTTTGCTTCTTCAGTATATTCTATAGACTGTTATGTCTTTATATTCCCTGTCTATTTCAGTATATTCTATAGACTGTTATGTCATCTTTATTTTTGATTTTTCAGTATATTCTATAGACTGTTATGTCTGTACTTCCTTGAATGGCCAAAACAAGGCTTGTGAAGACGAATTTAAAAGGGACCTAACCACCTCTCTCTTCATCAGTAGAACCTGCGTGTTCGAATTCTTCAAAGGCACTCACTGCATAAAGTTGAAAGGAAGAAGAAGTAAGTTTACTGTGTAAATAATACTACATGTACAACTTTCTAGCGGAATATTTACATTTATCAGATTTTAAACGATGAAATTCTGTAAATACGCACTTAATAAAATCTATATTGCCACGGACATTTTTATTTTCTCACTGATTTAACAACAGGAACTTCTTACTTTATAAAGTCAAAAGGAATACCGACGAAAATGTACTAAACAGAAAATTTAATGTTTTACAATTAGATTTCTGGAACTATTTGATTTGATTTTACATTATGACCCCTGGGTCGAGACCTCTGCTGGTGGATTGTTAGTTTCCGAGGGTCTTTACAGCCCAGTAGCTAAGTACTTCGGTGCTAGCTTGAAAATACGGTAAATTTATTTCAAAATTAAGGATTATCTCCCTCATACATAGCTCTCCTTGGACCCTCCTCCCTTTTTCAACCTATCAAAGTTTTCTTAATTTAAATATTTCGAATTTCCTACATTTTGGCATGAGCGAGCACTGAAGAGAGAATTTGTCGAAATGCGCATCTGGTGCATCAAAATTGATACCGTATAAGATTTACATTTGAAGAGTGGGATAGTTTTTTTTTTTATATTTTCAAAAGTACATTACTTATCCAATAAGTCAAAACATTGATTATCATCTTCACTTTGTCCTCTATACATATATTAAAAAATGGTTATGTAAAGAATTCAAGGATCATTTACAGCATCAATATTTACCGGTACAAATGCCAACGTGTATTCAATAACCTGGAATTTTGAATGCTTTTAAGCCTTCTTGAGAAAAGTATACGTGAACATTATCAAACTGAATACAAACATTAAATCTTTATAACGGTAACTTTTTATTGGAATATTTACAATTTGTTTGAACATTATTAACGGCATCTCTTTAAAAGTAGACTAAATTTCATACCTAATAATAAAAAGAACATTTTAGGTAGTTTTCTGTAGGTCAACTCTTGAAGAAAAACTATTTGGATGAAAGATGCTATGAAATGTTAGTTGCTAAAAGAGATATTCGGCCCTGGATAAAAAAAAATATGAATCAATTATAATGTACTTTGACGTATTTCACAAAAGACAATTATTTAGCCCTTAAAAATCACTCGGCACTCAGGGCCATTGAGCAGTGAGGGATCTTTATCGTGCCAACGCCTGCCGACACAGGGCCTCGGTTTTTAAAGTCTCATCCGAAGGACCCGCAACTTTCACTTCGAAGTGCCAAGCGCTTGGCGAATGAACAGTTGCTACTTATTGCAGCCCGGAGGACCGGGCTGCTCTATACATATAAGTTTAAGTGTTGGTATATGGGGATTGAGGTGGGAGAAGTTATTCAGAATTAAAGGTTTTCTAAACATTAAAAAGATTGTTAATCAGAATGTTCTTTCCCTTTATAAATTACGAGATATACAATACATTTACTTCCATAAAGTGAATCTGTAAAAGTATATATGTTTTTCATATTTAATATATAAAGTTGCTTATCATTTACTATCGAAAAAACGACAGGTCCCTTTTTTAGAACATCGAATTTTACTTATCGCATAAAAACGTAAAAATGTACTTTACACAGTTCGTGTTTTATATTCTCAAAGTGAAAGACATTTTTGAAAATAGGTGATGCATGTGTCTGGTTTCAAATTATATTTTATGCAGCCAACATTTACTTGAGGAATTGATAAAGTTTAAAAGGGTATCGTTTTTGTTCGACTTTCATCCGACTATAAGTTTTCAAAATATTCTCGACTATCGTCTCCATCATTTAGACGCATGCCTTTTTCACACATATCGAAGCGGTTTGATGATCAAGACTCATTTCCATTGTTTACTTTATTTATTTCCCGGGCGACAATTGATGGTTACATAATTAAATGTTTTCTTGTTTTTTATTGATATAGGTCAGTCGCGGCCAACTCACGACCTACCGAACACGGAGCGAGCGCTCTACCGACTGAGCTACCGTGACGGTGTTATGATAAATGAAATTCATTGAGACAAATATAACTTAGGTCACAACAAATTGGAAATTTTGAATTCTATAGAATATAATGGAATTCTTAATTGAAGAAAAGATAATACATAATCCTTTTACAAAACAATATACGGGTTATGTAATTTTTTTTCTGCAATTTTGGCAGAATATTCGAGATTGGTACGACTTAACTGTGGGTGATGAGCTTGATTAATGACAAATTGATTCGAAGTATGAAAGTAGAGTTACTAAAAAAAATTAGGTATAACACCTTCATATGCCTAGGGCTTTCTCTAAATCTGTACTCGTGTACATGTTTTCACACAAAATAATTTTTTTTTCATGTTTTGCATCATTTTGTCAAGATTTGAACCAGTTAAGTAGTAATGTATGTATCTATTCGTAACATGCTTTTTGCATGCCAAAAAAAAAAAAAAAAAAAAAAAGGGAAAAGAAATATTGACATATTAAGTAAAGAAATACTAATATATTAAGTAAAGAAATACTGACATCTTTTAAAAGTAATGAAAAGTCACGTCTTTTGATATCTTTCATGGTTTATACTGATCTTTATTGACATTAGTGATATTTTGACTGTTTTGGAACACTTTTTTTTAATGAAATTAAGGACATCGAAAACAGCTCTGTTGTTTATTTCTTTGTTCGCTGAAATAGTCGTACCCTTACCTGGAAATTATCATAAAAGTCAAAGCCAACAAGAAAAAAAGAAAGAAAAAAAAAGAAAAGCAAAATTACATTATGATGTATTTATTACATTATAATTGATCTTTTGTATTTCTCCACCACAATATATGATTGATTGATTGTATATTATTTTACGTTCCGTTCGAGAATTTTTCCCTCATGTTCAGACGTCACCATATAAGGGCCTCAAGTGTAGAACTTTATTCGGTACTCAGAGCCATTAAGCAGTGAAGGATCTTTATCGTGCCAACGCCTGCCGTGTCACGGGACCTCGGCTTTTAAGGTCTCATCTCAAAGCCCGCAACTTTCAATCGGCAATCCTCGGCTGATTCCGCTACACTCCATGTGCGAGGTACGAGCCACCCGAGGAGCTCCGAGTGCGCAACTTCCACTTCAAAGTGCCGAGCGCTTGGCGAGGGTTCGAACCCACGACCTTCCGATCACGGAGCGAGCGCTCTGCCGATTGAGCTACCGTGACGGTCTCCACCACAGTATAACTGCATGATAAGAAACAGTGAATTATAGATCAAAGGAATATAAAATCAATGGCTGCTTTCTTTCTTTGTCATATTTGTTTTGTGGATAAAGAAGTATTTTTATGACTTTTTAAATCTTGCATAATTTTATTGATTTTTGTTTATCGTGCTTGAAATGTGTTTTATAAGTATATGAAAGTTGCTTATTTGATAATTGGACTGTTGAGATCTTGACGTATCTGTTATTGATTTTTTTTCATCTTATTTATTTATTGGGGGGGGGGGGGTGGGGGATTCAAAAGATTTAATTCATTCAAGTCTATTTCATTGTAACTTATAAAAAAGAGATTTATGAGTAATTCTGACTAAAAAATGATGTTTAATCTTGTCAATCATGTTGAAGTGTAAACTAATGAAAATCAATGGTAATCAAAATATTTTTATTATTCATAGTTAGCCAGTAATGAAATATTAATAAATTTCTATAGGTTTTATCATCATTCTTCATCGACGAAAATTTCTCTGTACATTAATATTAACTTCAGAATGTCACCCTTTTATTAAATACAGATTTGCATGCGCACGATAGTTAAACATGAGGTAATATGAGGATCTTTAAATTTCAAATTGTCTGAAAGCACGATTATGTAGAGTACGTACATGTATCGCTTGCTACATAAAAGATTGTTATTTTTGCGAAAGTCGAATGCAAAAAATTATCTCACTATCTTGAATCGACATTTTTCAGATAATTTAGTCTTGAATTAAGAGCGTAAATAAGAAGTTTGATCACATATTCATTAAGAAAGCAAGAACTCAATTAAGAAATAATGTTTCACATCAAATTATCCAATACAAGTGAATGGGTTTCTTACCATCTTGTTTAACTGCTATGGAATTGAAAAAAAAAAGTAAAAACTTAACATACTGATGGTTACAATTATTAGTTTTTCCTCTAATGATTGTATAACAATATAAACATTTTTATATTAGTAAGTATTCCCCCGTCAAAGTTCAAGTCACAGTGTAAAGTGTATTGCTGTGGATAAAATGTCTGTTTTCATTTCAAACACATTCATTATAGCTACAGGATTTCCTGACGACATGTTAAATACTGAGCTAAATAAAAATAATAAAGCTCCCAGATTTATTTTAAGGTAATCTTTCTACCTCGAAAATTCTGCAGCCAGAATAGTTTTTCAATGTTCCTAGTTTGCTCCACCTACAAATGAAACCTTATATAGAAATTTGGTTTATTGAAACTGCCGTAGCAACAAATCCTCAATTAGCTATAATAGTAAACAAGCGGAAATTTCTTTGGAGTTTGCCTACCCGTGACACGTTTTTCGCAAAAAAGAGGCAAACGAAGGAAATCCATAGCCAAAGATAAAAGAACTACTTAGTTCTTGCCGAAGCCCTATTTCCGAAACTCAATACTTAAATAAGTCTTGGGTAAATGCAAGAAAGCATTTATGTAGGAAATTAAATCACTGGTACTTGGAATAAAAGATTGTAAAACCATCACTCGAAGTAGTAATTATTTTTCTAACAAAGAAGAACATAATACGTATGACGTCTTTTGTAAAATTGCAGAAGAGAAAATATTTTCCAATTCCCTGAATATTATTTTTAGATAAATATATATGTTTTGAATTTTTATATGCTATTTAAAAATACCCTTCATTAAAAAAAAAAATAATCAGTAGAAGACGAAAAATCCATACTCATATAGTAGCTCCCCTATTGAATATATATATTTTTTTATATACTCGATTTTCTGTTTATTTGGTAAAATTATCTACATCCTTTGAGGATTCATTAAAAAACAAGTCTTGAATTACCTCAGCAATTTAATATTTAAGTTATGTCAAATATATATACATGCTGTTTTTCAGCGTTGAACTTTTTCTCTTTAGGAGCAAGTTAAATGTTCCTGAATGACGCCTGCTGTTTTTCACATTAACTCTAATTAACAATCTTGATTCTGAACTATCAGCAGAGTCTTCCATTCAAAATTGTTTATCTAAATTTTGTGAGGAAAAATAAGAATAAGCAACGTCAGCTTTTCCATCAAGACACAAATTGTATCATTAGTTTGCGCCGAGTGAGAAGTAAATCGATCAAGCCTAACGCTGATTAACCGCGGATGCTGGGAATCACATCGCCATTTTCAATATCGGTGATGTTATAGAAAAAAATTTTTTTTTCTAAATCTTTGGATTTATAATTTTAAAAATCTATTTTCTAAGAGTAATAGATGTATACAATTTTCAATTCACTTGGATAAGGGGTTATAACTGAAAACCCCATGCCTGCTGTTATTTTGATTAAGAAATTAAAAAAAAAAATAGATTGTATAATTTGCCATTTTTTTGTACACGGAACATTGTATGCTATAAAGCAAGTTAAACGTCTCCCAAAAATAAATAAGCCCCCCCCCCCCCAAAAAAAAATGTTGTCACATGAAGATGCTTTTATTTGAAAGTGAATATATTTCATCAAGAAATCCATCAAATGATTGCATTTGTTCCCTTTGTAATTAGGATTTGTACATATACAAGTCATACAAATATATAAAATCAATTCATTTGTAAGAACAGTGTATAATAATTTATTTCATTTTAAAAAATGACAAATGAATATATAGGAACGACAGGGATACCTTTTACTTGCTAGTTCTTTGGTAAACTGTTATGTATTGCTTCTTAGAGTTAAGAATAGTTCCGATTTCTGATAGCACTTTCAGAGAAAAATGTATGAAAAAAGCTTATGGCATCTGAGCATTAACAGGACTCAATATTATAATGGTCTTCTCTGACAAAAATCAATAAATTGGCAGCTCTGATTTTGTTTCATATTCATGTTTTAACTTTTATCAGTATAATGAAAAAAAGGTTTTGAAGAAAAAAGCAACGTGATGTACGGGGTGTAGGGCTATTTCAATTTTTCCAATAAAAAAGATAATTTTACCTCACTATTCAAGATATACGTGTATCCTGTATCTAGCACAAAATTATAATCATCTCACAAAAATATTAAATCAATGAAAGAGATAAGATTCGTCTGAAAAGATCTTTTACAAAATATTAACACGTACAAACGTTTCATTAAAAAAAATGATATAAAGAATTTCAATCTAAATAACGTTTAACAAGCACTAATGATTTATGAAGACTTACTTTGAAGTGAAAGCTAATCGTTCACAAAATTCATATTTATTGATTTTTCCTCGCCTTAACACAAAGCTGAAATTACCAAGTTACGGAACACTGTCACCGGCTTAAGGACATATTACGGATCCTTATCGGCGATACCGGTCCATCGTTATAAAATACTTCAAAATGCAATTATCAGGGGAGAAGACTGCCTGGGGAGACCCGAATTAATTAAATAATACACGAATTATTACACCTAAGGCACCGGAGAAGCTGGAACTACAAATTCATTGCCGAAAGTAGTTCTCTCTTAATCATTCTCAATCTCTTTTACATGACGCTAATTAAGATTCATTATTGATATAAAAAATATATAAAGCTGAATAATGAAGAAGAAAAAAACATCCCTACTAATGGTAGGTCATATCTATATGTTCAAGATTGTAAACATAACTGCAATTTTTTTCTTTTTCAACATAATGGGGAAAATGTGATTCCGTTATTATCTAGAAGTTGCGCATTGTATATATTTTTTAAAAAAGCTATCCTATTCTAACAATAGCGGTGATCTATAGCGATCAATTTCATCCAGTAACACTTTATATATAATTTCTGCTACTTCTATCTGCCAAAAATTTGTAGTACTTTAATAAAATAAAAAAAATGTTGTGTTATTTGAGTGGAAGATGTTTGATCTATATAAACCTAAAGATTGATCTTTTTTACTTGCACTTTCGTGGTTATTCAAAATTATTTGGTTTCACAAAGATGAACCTGGATATTGATAAAAAGATATATCAAATTTTATTCAATATGTACATTAATAATCAAGGAATTTGATTCTGCTAGTGATACAGTTACTTCAGAGTTACAGTATACCTTTATAGGTTGGTATAAAATACCAAAAATCACCCTTATCGTGTTTGCAGATATAATTGTTTGAAAGTTGCATAATTTACTGTGTACTGGGTTTGCAGGTGATGGTTCCGGTATCGTTGTGATAATTGACTGTGTTCTGGCTTTGCAGGTGATGGTTCCGGTATCGTTGTGAGACAGTGTGGCGACTACGACTGGGGGAGCCACTGCGGGGATATCCTGTATGACTCAGGGGATGGTCGTGGGGAGGAGTTAGTGGACGGGTGTCTGGAGTCTTGTAATCATGATGGCTGTAATGCGGCCAACCATAGTGGCCAATGGGCCGTGACTGTATATATTCTTACGTTTATATCAATGCTTTTTTTCTCTCACATTTCATGCTAGCACCAAGTGCACCGGTTCGTCATTATTAAACAAAGTATCAATCCGTCAGATACCTACAATATCCGAGATTTATTCATAGTATTAAAGCATAATCCAGTGACCTTTTTCAAGTACAAGTAAAGCACGCTCTGGGTAATTTTGATGATAATGCAAGGAAACAGGAACAAAGAGAACATTATCACTGCATTTACGATGTAGCACCTGGATGTATTACGTATGATTTTTAATTTAGCATTTTTAAAACAATTTAGACATTTTTCAACATTGTTTGTGTGTCATCTTCCTTGCACTTCAATGGATAAATAGATATATCGTTGACCATTTATTTATAATCTATTTACAAAGATGTGTGTATTTTTCATATTCTTTGATGATAACATATTTTGATGTGTTTCTTTTATCATATCGAATTTGTGAGATATAATGATGTTTTATTTCATCACAGTAAATTTTCATATTTATGTTGACATGTGACGACCTACCACGACTCACTCGAGTGAGTTTAAATCATGAATATATTAATTTTAAAACTGACACAATTCAATTTCATTTATTATATGTTTCCTATGCATGGTTACAATCAAGTTAAAAATAAGAATAAAGACTTGAATGAATTGTGTCGCATAAAATGTTCACAAAACGATCAACAAAATAAATGTTTCCAGTACATACCTGTATGTCTTGCCATTCTAGCACACAATAAACAATTAATACTCAACTTTCTTGTGTATGATTTATATTTTGTGTATGATTTTTATTTTCAGTTGACTAATAGTTAAAAATAGTTTAAAAAGGGATTTAGACTACATGAACAATATGTTATGGTTCCAGCTTCAAGGTTTACAACAATATAGTCTTTGCATTGTTTGCAAGGTTCATTATTACAACTGCGTTTTATAAGTCTAAAACTTAGCTTTATTCTAGATCTGGAAATCCAACGAACACTCAACGTTCCCTTTCAATGGACGATTTTCTTCAAAACTATGTTTTGAGCAGTCGACAGTACTTTAAACATTCCAATTCTAAAAATTCATGAAATCCTAACAAAGATAAATTGGGTCCATCATGTGTTCTACTAACCCCTTATCTTTACAACTCACAAATATATCAACTGCTGAGAAGCAGAGGATACGCTTCATACGTATTATGCTTCAACATATTTACATGTTGGTATCAAATAAATGTGGGTTAATAAAAAAATCAATAAATATTGAATTGTCGACGAGTTTTCCTGTTTTTTCCCGATTATGACAAGGAGCACACGGTGGGTGTGACAGGATGGCAGGAGATGCTCACTCCTCCATGGCAACCGATCCCGTCTCTGATGTTTTAGAGGTCCGTGTTTGCTCTGCTCCTGATTTGTATTGTTTGTATTGTTTGAATGGACTTTTGAGTTTGTTATCTCCATATATTTCATTTAGAAAATTTAAATTAACTTTCCCCCAAAATTAATGACATCAGCAATTTATAAAACTCTTCCTTATGATAAATGAAAGACTAGGCGTTTTGACATCACAGAAAACTATTTGTTCAATAGAAATGGAACTCAGTAATTGATTGGTCATCTATTCATTTATAAAAGAAAAAACCCAGGCTCTGACCTTCAATTCGACACGTATATCGGTGACATTTTATCATGCAATGAACAAACAGTTACTTTCATCAATGAACAAATAGTTACTGACTCGATATGTCTCATATCCCAGCCACTCAAAATAAAAGGCATTTGAGAGTCTGTCAAATCTATTTCATATTTGAATATTTTACTGACAATAGACTTTAATGGCAAACTAAACCTTATGGCAAACAGGATGGCTTTAGCATTTCTATTGTATGATTCTTCATTTTTGCATTTATATTCCAATATAACCTGTAAGTCTTTTTTATTTTTCTGAACTGATTCGATGAAGACGAATATGCTCTAAAACGATCAATTTTTAAACCTAGGCAGGCTGCTGACAAATACGTTTATGTTACAGGACTTTCTGCAATCTCGTTCAAAGTTGGGAAGTTAGAAAATTTCTATGGTCGTTATAGGAATTTGCTTGCAAATACAACCTATTGTTTGGACGCATTTTTACTGAGATGTTTCCCAGCAATTGTTATCCTTTGTTTTATAATAATTTTGACTACGAAATACTCCAATTATCTGATCAGTACAGAGGGCCAATCGCAGGTGTGTCAAGTCGACAGGAGATACTTACTCCTCTTAGGCACCTGATCCCACCTTTGCTGTGTCCAGGAGTCTGTGTTTTTGCTTCACTCTTCGTATTGTTTACAGGATTTCTGATATTGGTCACTGTTCGTTATCACATCCTTTGTTCACCTACTATATTTCTCCTATGTCCACAAAAACATTTAACACTTTAATGGCGTTATTATACATTGTAAAATAATTTTTTTAAGGATAACTAAGAAATTATTGTGTCTTGGTCTAATGTTCTGACTTATTTTCATTTTAGTGCGCGGAGGGGCAATATCTATTGATCTAATGGAATCATCTGAGTAATAATGAAGCAGAATTTTTTCAAAACCTTCTACATGAAAAGAAGAACTCTCGTATGACTTTCAAGATGACATTTAGATATATCGATGATATTTTAACAATTAACAATATTCATTTCTTTCATTCATTGATTCGATATATCTAATTGAATTCGAAATAAATGATACGACAGAATCTGACGCTTCTGGTTCATATTTAAATATTATGCTACAAAGGGCATTGGTGGCAAACTAACAACAAAACCTTATGATAAACGTGATATCTTTATCTTTTCTATCCTAAATTTCCCTGATTTTTGTATCACCTGCAAAAGGGGTATATGTTTCCCAGGTGATTCGATACACAAGAGCATGTTCTACGTACGGACTTTATTTAAAACAAGGCAGGTTACTAATGAATACGTTAATGATACAAAAATATCAACAATCTCGTTTAAGCTTAACATTTCTCAGATTTTTTGGTCATTACAATTACTGTCGCCCGCGTGGCGCAGTGGTTAGAGCGTCTGCTCTAGAGTCGCGAAGTAAGGAGTTGATCCTTACGTCGCGGGTTCGAATCCCACTGTGGGACGTGGAGACCGGCCCTTCGGGTGAGACCGTATAAACCGAGGTCCCGTGTCGCAGTAGGTGCTGACACGAAAAAGATCCCTCACTGCTCAATGGCCGTAAGTGCCGAGTATAGGACAAACTTTAAAGCTCTCCACCGGCAAGTTGTGGCGTCTCCATACGAGTGAAAAATTCTCGAGAGAGACGTTAAACAACATACAAACAAACAAACAAACAAACATTACAATGACTCTTTTTCTGTAAAAACAATTGGTCGTTAGGTCGAATGATGACTGACATCTTTTATATAATTTTTTAGGCCACTATTATAAAAACCTAGAGGGACATGTGTAATCTAAAGCGATCATATGTCACCGATTTACTTGGTTTAGTACCCGAACCTGTATTAATAAAGTAAATAAAACATTTATAGAAAAAATGTAGTTTATTTTGTCGGATTATACTTAATGACTAAGGAATAACGCGTGATGCTACGAAGCCGTAGCAGTATCAATACAGAAATTTCACACGTTTTCCTTGAGTAGGAATCTCAATGAAATATGGATATAACGAACAGTATTCAAGCTCAAAGTCCATTAAAACAATACAAATATGGAGCAGAGCAAATACGGACCTCCAAAACCATCAGAGGTAGGATCAGGTGTCATGGAGGAGTAACTATCTCCTGCCGACCGATCACACCCGTCGTGTGCTCCTTGTCAGGATTGGTAAATAACGGGAAAATCCGTAGACAATTCAGTGTGTAAATAATGGCCTAACAATTAGTATGAAAAACGTCAGTCAGCATATGATTTAATCATTGATTGTATTTGCTGACAAGGTCATTGTGTCGATCATAGAACTCACAAAATGATGACATTAAACGAGACTGCTGATATTCTTGTTTCATCAACTTGTTTTTCAGTAACTTACCTCGTTTTAGAAATCGTTCATACGTATTCTTGGGTATCCATATCGAATCAATTGAGAGATATACTCCCCATATGTAGGTGATAAGGGTATATTGTGCATAAGTAAGAAAAATTGACGATTGAAAAGTTAAAGTCATCACGTTTATCATAAAGCTTTGTTGTTTGATTACCATAGATTGCCACGTGTTTTAGTAAAATATCCAAATATGAAACAGATGTGTCAGACTCTGTGGTATCTTTAATTTCAAGCTCCCTGGGATATATCGTGTCGTCTTATGAATGGAAATAATTATTGTAAATTAATAATAGGTCGTCGATAAATCTAAATGTCGAAGTTGAAGGCCACATCAAGAGATTTCTTTTTCTCATGTATAAGTCTTTGAATAAATTGCGCTTCATATTGGTCTGTTAACAACGGGGCAAAATTTGTACCAATGGCAATTCCAACAGATTATTGGAAGACCAGGTCTCCAAAAAGCACAAAGATATTGTCAATCAGAGAAGGAAGTAAGTTTTTCAACGACCGTCAATGGACGAGTTCATAGGTTACTTCTTGAGGATTTAACCCTTCATCGTCGGTAACATTTTTTTCTTGACTTCAATATTACGGTGATCTGATTCTGTTTAACAATTTTGATTATATTTTAGTACCTTACTTTTATTTTATAGCAGAAAGTGTTCAATTCGTGACATAGTTCTGTTATTAATTTCTCTAGCTGTTTTTATAATCCATAACGACTGGAACATGAGGTACTTGTTTTCATAGATTTGTACAGAGGTTTCTTTTAACAAATCTAATGTAAAATTTTCTTTTGTAAAAAATAAATGATACAGGTGTCACACCAGTATTTCACTCATTCAAAGTCAAAATATGTCCAAAGCAAAATAATTCGTCATGCCTCCCCTCGGATACGACTGTTTCCGCGTGAAAAAGGACATCTGACTATATGTGTTCTTTTTTTTTGTACTTAAATGATAAGGAAGGAATGTGTAAAAAAAAAAAGGGGGGGGTGGAAAGGAATTTCCCCAGAAGTTTGTTTTAGGCTAGATCAAATATGGAGTTAACAAACAGTAATCAAACTCAAATTCCATTGAAAATATATAAATCAGGAGCAGAGCAAACACAGACCTCTAAAAACCTCAGAGGTGGGATCAGGTGTCGTAGAGGAGTAAGCATCCCCTGCCGACCGGTCACATCCGCCGTGTGCTCATTGTCATGATTGGGAAAACGGAAAACTCCGTAGTCAATTTAATGTGTAAGTAATAAATTAACAATAAATATGAAAAACGTCACTCAGCATTCGACCTAATGATAGACTGTATTTGCTGAAAAGGACATTATTTAGACTATGGAACATGCAAAAAAATGACTTCAAACGAGACTGTTGATATTCTTGTTTCAGCAGGGACCAGTATATACTGATGTAATCTATTTAATTCTTTTTTCACTTCTGAATTATTGAACACAGAAGGATAGTTGGTTTTTATTTTGCCTCTCAATCGCTTAATGCGAGACTTAAACATACATCCGATACATTTAATCCATTCTGACAACGTTTCAAGGTCTTTTTTTCATGTCTGGTCCATCGCCTGGTGTAATCTTCCACAGAATCCATAATATTTATGAAATTACGACGCTAGTTAAAAGATCGGGGTTCCCTAAATTTCGGCCCTTTTAAAAGTATTAAATATAAGTATTTTGTTTTCTGGTACGTGTGCTTTACTCAACAGAAGT